CCCCTCTGGGCCCTCAGGCTTGGCACTAGGCTCATCTTAAGAGTGATGGGAGTGTGGGCATGTGGGAGTACAGGTGTGTGTGTCACCGCACATGTGCCAGGGTGTGTGTGTGTGTGTGTGTGTGTGTGTGTGTGTGTGTGTGTGTGACAGATTTTGTATGTGTGGTGAGACTGCGCGTGGGTAGCTAGGTCTGGGTATGACTGTAAGTAGGATTTTATGTGTTTGTATTCATGACTATCTATGTTTGTGTGTCTGCACAACTTTCTCCTGGTGGTCTGGAGTATCTGTGTATGGCTGCTTATGTCCCTGACTTTGGGCTAAGTGCATGGGTCTTGGGTCTGGGGGTTTTCTGTGGGAAGCTCTGAGGTGGATGCAGGAGTGGGGAGAACTCAGGCCCAGTGGAGAACTGGAGCTGTGACCTTGAGAGGGAGGTGCCCATTCTCAGTGAATTCCTGGCTCAGTTTGCAACTGGGAGAAATAACCTCCAAGTCCATTTCTTTAAAAATTATTCTCATCTCTCTCCGGAGTGAGGCCCCCTGCTGCCAAGTCCCACTAGAGGGCCTGGAAGTCCCTGTGATGAAAACCAAAGCAGCCCAAGGAGTCCTAGAGGATCCCTGGCTGTCCTCGAGCCCCTTCTCCCGGAGGCAGACCCTGGGCTCAGGTATCTCAGGGCTCCCAAGCTCCTGGGAAGCATCCTGTAGACACTCCCTTAACCTGTCCCAGCACAGAGATAGGACACACGTAAAGCCACTCTGAGGTACAGTCACATAATTACCCAGATATGGGCACTGTCACAACATCACACATGAACCAGAAACCCACATGTATTGTCACAGATCTGCTGGACACAAGCACATGTACACATGTATACATCACGACACACAAACATTCATACAGGCACACAAATGTATAGGCACATGCCTCTTTACACACAGGAACATGCCCATAAATTGGTAAAACACACTCTTGCAAGAACATACATGCTTAGAGTGACATGCCTGCAGACCTGCTTGCATACGTATTCACACTTGTTCTGTCCTTTCCCACCCTTGCTTCAGTTCTCAGTCCAACACCCTGCTACGGCTCTCACCCACTGTGGACAGCCCTTTGCGAGGTGGGCATCAAAGCAGGCCAGGTGCCATATGCACAGGGGGCTCTATGAGTAGATAGATATGTGTGTCTACATGTCCAAATTTGTATATGTGAGTGTCACTGTGTGTCTGGTAGTCTATGTGGCTCTAGCTTTGTGAAACAGGGAAGGGTCTCTTTGTGACACAGTGGGTTTTTTGTGTGTATGTCTGTGTGTATTTCTGGCAGGATCTATGTGTAGCTGTGTGTACCATTTGTGTGAATGTGGGTATGGGGAATTTATTTATCTGTATGACTCCATCTTGTGGACTATCTCTCTAAGCATGTCTATATATGTATGTCTATGTGAACATTTGCATAAATGTGCATTTCTCATGTGTTTCTGGCTCTGTGGTCTGGAATCCACAGGCTGGCTGGGCTAGCTACCCTTCTGACAAAGGCTATGGCCTAGGATGGCGTCAGGTGGGACCTGGCCGAATCCCTCAGCCATTGACAGTCGTATTTACAGAGCTCTGAGTCGGACGTAATTGCTTCTATTAATCTTTCTCCGGTTGTTAATTGCTCACTTATCGGGTTGTGTATTATGCCGACTGTTGCTCTTAATTCGCCTCCGTGGCTGCAGGTGTTCACTGCCTTATTAACCGTTAATCGGCACAGCTAGGGATGGAGACTTAATTGGCCCCGAGAGTGGGACACAAGCAGGCCAGCCGGGCACTGCCAGGCTCTCAGCCTGTCCCCAGAGCCCTTACCTGTGGAGCACAGGTGGCTACCAGGGAAGGAGTTGGCCCACTGCAATTCACCTGCAGACAGTAGTCCTGCATACAGCGCTAAGAGTGACTACTGCCGGGTATGGTCCGCTCCTCCAGGAAGCCAACCAACCAATTAAAATCCAGCTCCTACACTCTCATCACCAACAACCATCCTCGACCCAGGATAGGAGCCAACCTCATTTATTTTCATTATGTGAAACCTCACTGAGAACTGAGAGACCAACATAGAGTGGAGCTGGTTCTCATCCTTTAACACCTCCTCTCCTCCCCGCTGAGCCTGGTAGTCAAGGCTGTTAAGGTTACAGGGACATTAGGAGAAAGAAGGGCAAGACAAAGGAGCTTCTGCAGAGCAGGAAGGTGAAGTTAGACCAGGAAGAACTTCCACCTTTTGAAGAGGCCATTTGGAAAAATTAGAGTCCAAATAAGAATAAGAAGTTCCGGGAGGAGATATTCCTCCCCATGCCACCCTCAAGGGGCCCCTCTCAGCCTCTGCTTTCATGGCCTCAACAGGGAACTCACTTCCTCCATGGCACTGCTACACAGCGACAGCAGTGAGAAGGTTCTCCGTACTGAGCTGACTTCTGCCTTCCCCTGCCCCAAGTCACAGCAGAGGAGTCCCAATTGTCCACAATGGGACTCCAAGGCCCAGAAAGGGCAGGAGAGCAACCCCAGGGTCCCCTCGTCCTCTCTGGTAAAGGCTCAGATATGCAGCTCTCCAAGCAAAGTTTCAGTCTCCTCCTAGGCCCTGATCCATCTCAGACATCTCAGACCTGGAGGGGACTGTCTCAGTCACCACCTCCTTAGCTCTGGTCTTAAAGTCTCTCAACCTCAGCTGCCACTGCTACAGCCACCTTGAGCTCCAGCGCCCTTGAGACAGGAATGTAAGGTTTCTGGAAACAGTTGGACCCTGAGAGAGACAAGTATATAAGGATGTGCATGTGTATGGGTGGTGGTGATGGGGTGGGGGGGGGGTCCATGCTTCACCAACCTGGTCTCCATCCTCCAAGAAGGACAAATAGGCAAATCTATAGTCTTCATCCTGTGCCTCAAATCCAGTCTGCCCTGACATCTGGAAGTTCTTCCCGTTATTTAGTTGTCATGTCTTGAGCTGCAAAGGAAGTTGATTTGCTTTGGTTGGGTCCTGAGAGGAGCTGGGCTCTATGGAGAAAGGGAGGGTTAATGTCTACCATGTGCCAGAAGCAGCAATAAGTGTATGCAAAAGTTACATGTCACTGAGCCTTCACATATCTGATGAGTTAGGGATCACTAACCCTATTACAGAGAAGGAAACTGAGCTATAGAGAGGGGAACTAAACTTGCCCAAGGCCGCACAGCCGGGAAAGGGCAGAACTGGGATTCCAACCAGGCCTGACATTGCCTGGGGGGCTTCAGTGTCTGGTCAGGGGCACCTGGACGGATTCATGCTAATTGTTCAATAAGGTGACCAGGGTCCGGAACCGGTGGTTATTATTACAATTTACCCACCCACCCCCAAATCTGGGAACATTAATGAGAAAAACACTCACGCATGCGCGGTCCACGTGCTCATCAGGTGGGATGAGAGAGAAGCAAAGGGAACTGTCCAGGGATAGTTGCCCAAACAAGTTCCAACCCCGCCTCTATGTTACTAATATGCAGATATATGTAAATTTGCACAAGCAACTGCTCAAACCTTTGGAAGCAATGGGGTGACACAGAGAAGTTGCTATGGAAACCCAAAAGCGACCCCTTCCCCCGCCCCCAACCGAATAAGCAACGCAAAGACACGTGCACAAAGGCCCAGGGTTCTTTGCTCCAGAGAGCCCAAAGGATCACGGAGTCGCGGAGGGTGTGAACCGGAAGGATCCCCAGGCACAAGAGTCCAGCCGGGGAAGCTAAGGCCTGGAGAAAGTCGCAAGGAGAACAGCGTCGTGGGGCGTCTACCACTAAAACCAAGGGGAGCTCGGTGGCCCTTCGAGTCTTTGGCAACTCCTACTTCGGCTTAGCCCAGTGAGCCCCGCCCAGCGTTGCTTAGCAACGTCCGTCGAGCCTAGCAACCGCCGGCCTCGCCCCCTAGCAACAGCTCGCCTAATCCGCTCTCCTGGCCTCCTCTGCAGAAAGAAAGGCAAGGGGTTTGTGGACTAGGGCCAAAGGTGGATGGACGTCATGTTGACCAGCCTCCAGCCTCGTAGCCGTCAGGCTATAGGTCCACCTATAGCCCTCTCCTTACAGAGGAGAAAACTGAAAGGAAGTCCCAGCCCAGAGTACAGAGCTTGTTCTTTTCTGAGTGGCCTGAGAAGGCAGCAAACGCTCTCGTCTCCCTAGGAGGAAGCCCTGGGTCTGGGGGGAGGGTGTGCACAGCCATCCCCTCCTCCAAAAGCGTTAGGAAAATGACCCAAATTGCCGACTCGGAATAGAGCTGTAGATTGCATAGTAATTTGTGTCCTTTACATATGTCACTGAGGCTTTGGCGCTCACAAGCAGCTCGGGGCTGAAAAGTTCCCGAAGGAGCCCCACTCCCGACCGGGTTCACCTGTCCGTCCCCTCTCCCTGTTCTATCCCGCGCCCCACCCCTGCCTGCAATCCCTTTGGCTAAAATCCCACACCTCGCCCCGCCCCCAGCTGGGTCTCCAGGCCAGCCGGCCCCGACCTCCATCCCAAGGCCGAGGGCCCCCTCTGCTGTCGGCCGCGGGTAGGGCAGCAGCAGAGCTCCTGGGGCAGAGGACTCTCCCAAACAACCAACGCCCCAACCTTCCCAGTCCAGAATGGTCCAGGGCGAGGCAGGTACATGAGTAGACTTCGTAAAGGGATGGGCAAAGGTACACCCTTTTAGGTCTAGCGGGAGCAAAGGGTGGGTCCCATCAGAAGCTCTCTCCAAACCAGGCCCTGCTTCTGGGTGTGTTAGGCGGCCAGGGGCAGCTAGTTCGCCGGTCCATCCCCAGACTCAGTTCTCACGAGGTACAGCCCACACTGAGATGCTTTATAATTGTAGCTGCTGTTTGGAGCTCACTCCAGTCCCAGGCAAAGCAGCACCATCTAGGTATGCTACATTATTGCACAGAAACTCAGACATACCCACCCTAACCCACACCTGGCCAGAACCAGGGTCTCCCCCGCCTGCCCAGCTGATGCAGTCTCAACTTTGTCAAATTCTTTATTGAACCAAAAATCAACGCTAAGCAGAATGCAGAACAGGAAACTCAAACAGGGCAGGTGGGTTGAACAGGCCCTCCCCTTCCTCGGCCGGTCTCTCTCTGAACAGTTCGGGGTTCAGTACTGGGGAGAGAATCAAAGCCTTTCTTCTGGTGGGTAATGAGGGTAGGTCTCTCTAGGGAGGGGACACTGAAAGCCAGCTCCATCTATAGGGCCCAAAGAGGAGTTGGGGGCTGGGCCAGGGGGCTCTGGAGCTACAGGGGGCTGGCAAAAGAGGCCAAGAATTCCAGGGGTTACAGGGGGCTGGGAAAGCAGCTCCTGGTCTGGGGACTTCAGTGAGGCTTGGAGCTGGTGGCTCATGGTCACCAGGGATTCAAGATGCTGGAGCAGGGCTTGGTGGGGACAGGAGGCCATGTGGAGGTGCTGGCCATGGCCAACTGGTGCTGCAAAATAGGGATGCCAGGCCTGCCAACAGTCTGATTTTGGGGGCCATTGCCCTTGCCCAGGAGCCTGCCAGGTTTCAGGTTCTTCCCATAATCTACCCCTGCCTCTGTGGGGCCTCTGCCAACCACAGATTCCCCTGGGAACCAGGCTTCCTTTTCCCTGGCTCTGCTGCTGGATACCCTCTGGGGGAGGGGAGCCCTTCAGGGCCACATCCGGCCTCCTGTCATCAGAATGGTAGCATCTCGTCTCCACTTTTTTGTTGAAGGAGACCGTCTTGCGAACCTTCCCCAGCAAGGGGCTGGACTTTGCTGTGTTTGGAAGCCCTTCCTTGGGGAGCAGCACAGCCAGCAGCAGACTTGAGTGAGTAGCTTCCAGGCCTGGGGAAAGAGGGGGAGACAGTAGGCCTGGTGGGAGAGAATGCATAGCCCCCAGAAGCTGCATTCTGGCTGTAGAAGGAGGTCTGGAGGTTAGACCCCCAAGAAGAGCTTTCCAGCAGTGAGATGGGGGCCCATGAGATGCTGGGAAAAGTGGGAGGGTGAACCTGTATCAGGAGATTTGCTCTCAGCGTGGGAAAGGGTTCACCTGACAGAGGGTAGGCATGGATGGATTCAGACTCTATGGATTCAGTCTACCTCACTGTCCCCAGAACAGGCAGCCCAGAAAGGCCAAGCACTCAGCTCAGCAATGGGTACAGTCTACCCCACGAGCCCCCATCCCCCCACCCACCAGGTGCTTTCCTGGAGCCACACCCTGGAAGGTTTCCTGGAGCCACAAACCCAGGGTGTGGCTCCAGGAAAGCACCTGGCCAAGCACAAAGGCCAAGTTCAGCCCAGCACAGCTGTGGAGAAAACATCCTTCCTCCTGTCTTAGGTGATATTTTTAATCAACTGTTTGTGGGTCCTGCCTCTGTTCTGCTGTGTCCATGTCATATGTGGCTGCCCCGTGAGTCTCTATTCAGGGGGCCTAAGTGGAGAGTGTAACTATAGTGTGGCGGTTAGAAGCCCAGTTTCTGTAGCCATGCTGCCTGGGTGTGAAGCCGGGCTCTGCTATTGCCTGGCCATGCGACTCTGGACAAGTCACCTGCTTTCTCCCTACCTGTTTCCTTATCTGTAAAATAAATAAACTAATAGTACCATTCTCCTAGAGTTATTTTGAGGACTAAGTGAATTAATATCAATAAGCTTTTAGAACACTGTCTGGCACGTGTAAACAATATACGAGGATGAACTACTGTTGTTATTGTTATCACATTTGCCTGTCTCAGGAGTTCCCTTCTGAGACATGCCTGCCTCCATGGAGATACAGGTGAATGTGTTAACAATGCTCCATCAGATCATCAAGTGAGGGGAGGCAGGGGTCTGGTATGGGAATCGGGACACTCACCTGGGCCTCCAAGAAGGCGCAGTCTGGAGGGCAGGGGCTGGAAGGCAGGCAAGGGCAGCAGCACCATCGTCATGTGTTCCACAGCTGCCAGGCTGTGGCACTGCTTATTGTTGAGGTAAGAGTAGAGCAGGCGGCAGTTCTCGGTGTCCCGAGCCCCCTGTGGGTGCAGTCTGACCACACAGACGTCCTGCAGTTGCAGGAAGGAGAGCAGCTTTAGGAGCAGTCATCGTTTGCTCCTACGAACACCCCTGGTCTTATCCAAACCTCTAAGAACCCTGTGAGGAAGCATGTCCCCATTTTCTGAAGAAGGAAACAGAGGGACTTGCCCGGGGTCACACAGTGATCCTACAGTCACCGTGGGAATTAGACCTGGATATCCTAAACCAGACCTTTGCTCCAGACCTGGAGAAAGGGGGCACAGAGCTGGGGTTATGGTGATAGGAGAAGAGGTGGTGCCCCAGAGGGGGTGGTTACCTTGGCCTCAGCTGGGCAGATGCTGGCCAGAAGGTCCCACATGGTGTTGGAGGGGATGCAGCCTGCTGAGCGAATCACCTCCGGCAGGGCCTGGGGGCGGGTAGCATGACCAGTCAGCCCCCCAGATTCCCACCCACTTAAGGCAGACTCAATACCAACCACCTGGAGGCCACAGTCTACAGCTAAGAGGATGGTCAGGCAATCTATCAGTACCCCTAGTGGCTGCCCAGGGAGCCCCAATTGCCCCTGGAGGCCTACAGCCTGTCCTGGTCAATCTCTTCCAACTTCTCAGAAGCCCTTCGCTCCCTCCTCTAACCTCCTGCACTCATCCCACACTCTAGCTGACTATTTGTCACTCAGCAATCACTCCTAAAACCCTCCTCTGGGGCAGGGAGGCACAGACCCCCCCCCCTGCCTTCCTGGGCCCTTCCTGCTTTATGCCTTGGGTTACCCTTGGCCTTTACCCATATGTGTCTCTGCAGGAGTAGGGCTGGCATCTCATTTGACTCCATGCCATGCACAGAACCAGGCAGAGAGAGGGTGCCAATGACTTGTTTTAGAACAAGTGAATGAATCAATCAATGGGGGTGTGAGTAGCTGACTGGGCTGGTCAGTGTGTGAGGGAGTCCCTGGCAAGCAGGGCAGGAATACCGTGATGAGCCAACTACTGTGTCCTGAGACCAGCTGGGCCTTCACCCGGAACCGCTTGATGGAGAACATTTCCAGAGCCCCCTCCCAGAGCGGCTGGCTGGGCAGGGCCTTTTTGGGTCCAGCAGGCATCTGGAGCCTAGAGGGAGAGACAGAGACAGGGCCAGGAAGAAAAGGTCATCAGGGCTTCGCTCAGCATCTCCTTACTTTTCAGAGAAGGACCTGTGTCTCTACTGTGGGTGCTGGAACACTAGTCCAAGCATGGCCTGTGCTGGGGGTAACCAGTAGGCTGGGATGATTAGTTCCATTGCACAGATGGGGAAACTGAGACCCACAGAAAAGGTAAGATTTGTCCAAGTCCATATAGAAAGAAAAGCCCCTACCGTGTCTGCCGCCCTAGTGGGTGGCCTCCCAACCTCCCTGTCCCCAGCCCCGCACCTGTCCTGGGGCTCCATGGGCAGTTTCTCCCTGATTTGAGGCATCTCTGGAGAGGACACAGGGCCTGGGCTTGGGTCTCTCTGGAAGACACTGTCCTCCACCCTGCTGGTGGCTTCGCAGGAGGCTGGCAGCTCACCCGAGGGCTTCCAGTCTGCAAACAGCAGAGACAGGAGCTGAAACAGGGGCAGGCAGCTAGGCTGAAGCCAGCCCAGGCCTTTAGAGCTGGGGTTTGAGGCAGGTTCTTTTCAAGGTGACCTGGGGCACAGGCACCCCCACCCTGCCACCTTCTCCCCAGGCCACACATCCCTGTGACCGCTGAACCCCACACTCAGCCCCAGCCTGCCCACCACCACTGCGTCCCTCCTGTCTCCCCCCTACCCTTGCAGGAATAGGGGTCTAGGAAGTGGTGTTCCTGCTGTGCCGTGGGGTCCTTCGATGTGGCAGGCAGGGCCAGTGGGCTGCAGTCTATGGGCACCATGGGTCCCTGGGAGACACAGGAGAAGAGAGGGTGGGCTTGTCAGGCAGCTGGCGAAGTCAGGAGTCCTCCATGAGTAGGGAGCCTCAGGGATGTGGCTTTAGTTTCCCAAATAACATGTTCTTTTGTTACAAAAGTATGGTGAACTTGTTAAAGAAAATTTAGAAAATATAGAAAATTGAAAAATAACCATCCCTTGTCCCACCCCTCAGAGACAGCTGTCGATATTCTGTATATTCCTTTACAATAGTTATTCTATACACTGGTTTTTGGGGGTCCTTTTACTAAAATAGCTAAGATCAAATATTCAACCTGTGTAGGCATACCTCAGAGATATTGTGGGTTCGGGGCCAGGCCACCACAATAGAGAGAATACCACAATACAGTGAGTCATATGAAAGTTTTGGCTTCCTGGTGCATTTATAAAAATTATGTTTATACTATACTATAGCCTATCAAGTGTACAATAACCTTATGTCTAAGAAAAGCAATGAGCATACCTTAATTAAAAAGTACTTTATTGCTAAAATATGCCAACCATCACCTGAGCCTGTTGGAAAAAAGTGCCAATAGGCTTGCTCGACAGGGTTACCACAAACCTTCAATTTGCAAAAGTGCAATATCTGCGGAGAGCAATAAAGCAAAGCACAATCAAACGAGGTAGCTTGTTTTCTCATTTTGTCCATGAATTATAGCAGAGGCATTTGCCATGTTATACAGTCCCTAGATGGGGTGGATGGCAGTATACACACCACTAGATTCCCAGGTTTTCGCTATCACAAATGGTACTGAGGACATCCTTGGGCAGCAAGTATTTTCCTGAACTTTCAATTATTTCCTTAGGACAAGCTCTCAGAAGCAGATGACAGAATCAGGGAGAATGAACATTTTTAAGTCTCTTAATGCCCACTGCCAAATCACCTTTCTTCCTCATGATAGAAACAGCTTTAAACACAAAACAAGGATTGCTTTAGGAAGATTTAAGATTTTAAAACCCTACACTTGCCCTATAAACCTATAAACCACCTCCAGAGTCGTGCCAAGGCTCACTAAGGCTTTGGAATCAGCCTGGCCTCAAATCTCAGCTCCCCCTCTGCCAGCTAGCTGACCTTGGTCAAATGGCTTCAGGTTCCTCATCCAGGAAACTCGCATCGCCTACCTGGTATGTCATTGTGAGATTCAAATGAGGCACTGTTTGTAAAAGGGATGCATAGCGGGTGTTCACTAAGGAGTAAAGATTGTTAGGTGTTATTTTCCCTTTGCTTATTCTTCCTCTGTCTCTTCTCTCCAGGTCTCCTTAGCTCCTCCCCTGACACTTCCATTCAATTTATTCAGGAAATACAGACTGGTTTTGGTTGGGGAGCAGTCCCACCCCCAAGGGCTCCTCTCTGCACAGGCAGCTGTTCTGGTTATTGGCCTGGAGACCGGTTGGGGGGAGCAGGGATTTTTATCTGTCGTGTTCACTGCCATTTCCCCAGAGAACATGGCTCTAGAGGCCCGCCCTGCACGCCCCGTCCTGGATACACTGCTGATTAGACTGAGGTGAACATCTACCCCCACAGAACACCCAACAAAAGTCAGAGCCACCTTCTGAGAGTGACTGAACGGAGCCAGGAGGGAGCTGACGGGCTATAGGAGGCTACGCCAAGGGGTTCATTTGACTGGAGGGCTGCTGAGCTACAATGTCAGGCCACGAGCAAGATGGACAGGCAAAGCAGGAGGAAGGAGCAAGATGGACAAGAGGATGGGGCAGATCCCAGCAACAAGAGGGGACTCTGCACAGCCTGCCCTGCCATCCGGGCGGTTCCCTGCCTGGATCACCCGCAAGTCCTTCTGCCCAGCAGCAGTTCTCTTCCTCACATGCACAAAGTCACTGACTCAAGCAGTGTGGCCCTCTTGCTTCCCAACCAGGGATCTGCTCAGAATGTCTGAAGTTGGGAGGAAAGGCAGTGATAGGACTTACTACCACTCACATGGGGTCCCTTGGGGTTAGACCAAAAGGAGGGGGACCAGCACTGAGAAGGCGCTGCCAGGCCCTGTGCCAGTGGCTGTCTTGCCCCATCCTCACCTGGACTCACGATCATTACCCAGCTCTACAGTGAAGGCTGTGGGTCTGAGTAGTCAGGTGACTTGCCCAAGGCCACACAGCTGGTAAGATGAGGAGTGGGATCCCTGGGCACGGGCCCTGTCCAGCCCCAGGTCAGGTTCCCACTTACCACCAGATCCTCCAGGGTCAGCATCTGGTCCACATCCCGCAGGATCTCCACTTCACCCTTGTGGGTCAGTTTGGAGGTTGGGAGGCTGCATGGCTCCTTCTGTTGCTGCTCAATGATCTCCAGGCCCTGGCGAGTAGAGCAGCCCAAGGTCCCTGGGTTCAGGAGTCTGGGCCACCAAGAGCCCACGTTCTCCCTTTCCTCCCCTGAGGCCCCTCTCCTGTGAATCCCATCCATGCCAGCCCTTTCTCTTCCCCCCCACTTTTGCTTCTGTCATTCCCCTCACCTGGAAAGGCCTCCACCCTCAGCCCTACCTCTCCACATTCCACTCATTCGCCCTCCAACACAAGCCCTGCCTCCTCCAGGAAGCCTTCTCGAACTTCACCTTCACCCACAAGTCAATTCTGTTTCTGACTGTAACCCACCTTCTGGCCTGGGAAGAAACTGGTGTGGTCAAAGAGAGTGCCAGCTGGGCTATTAATATTAATAAAGACCCACAAGGTAGTGTGGCCTTGGGCAAGCACTTCACTGCTCTAAGCCTCAGTTTATTTCTTCTCTAGGAATTCAGTTAAGAGCATTTTATCAAACAGCCTATGTAGAGTGCTTAGCCTGGAGCCTGGCTCATAATAAAGGTTACTCCTGATTCTTCCTGTTGATGAATGTCATCCTATCTGAAACGTTTCCTGAAAGCCTGTCTCTGCCTTTCTAACCACCCCCGGAGGACAGAGGTCCTGTCCTTCCTGGCAGGCTTCCTGGGCATAGGCTCTGCAGCTGCACAGGGCCCTGCGCTTAGGAGGACCTCATGTTCAATGCTGTCGTCATTTTGAAATCCTTAATAGTTGTTGAACAAAGGGCCCCACATTTTCATTCAGCTCTGGTCCCACAAATTATCGACCTGGTCCTGCTCCCTGGTCCCCACAGTGCCTGGACAGAAGTTCAGACTAGAGTGGATGGATTCACCTAATGGATTCTAGTGATTAATTCTAATCAGCCCAGTATCTTCCAGAACAGGAGCCTTACACTGGCCCCTATCCCTAGATCAGTCCCTCCCTCTCCCACTGGGCCACAAAAAACACTCCACAAACATCCCCAAAACCGGCTCAGTGTCCACATCTTCCCCTCCCCTGAGCAGTTCCTAGGCAGGGGCAGAGCCTAGGACACAGGATATATGGACATGTAACTGAAGTGACTGTGGGGTCCCTCACCCAGCCTGGGGCACCAGGAAGATTTCCAGTCTTTTCTGGGGCTTCTGAGGCTAGAATGAGGTACCCCAGGGGGTCTATTCTCCATGGATGATGGATGACAACCCTGGACTCCAGACTCTGGACTATCACCCCCAGTTCCTTTCCACCCCCAAAGCCCTGTCCATTGAAAAACAAGTGGAAGATGACACCTCTCGGGGTTGTCACCTCTCTACTGAGCTCTCCATCCCTAATCCCCTTCATTTCAGCCTCTTTTCCTAATTTTTTTGGTGGAGACAGTCTCTCTAACTCTCCGTCTGCCTGCTCTTTCTTTCCATTTCCTTGTTCCTGTTTCTGTCCGTCTGTCTTGTGCTCCCCTTGTCTCACGGCTTTCTCCGTCACTCTGCTCTGCCTGCCTCTCCCTGTTCCCTCCTCAGGCCACCCCCTTCCACCTCCTCTCCCTGCTACGTCCTTCCGCCTGTCCTGACTTGGCTCAGCAGCTCACCCTTTTCTCCTCCTGGTCCCGCCAGCGGGCCAGCTCTTGCGGGGCCAGCTGGATTGAGTTCATCCGCACCAGTCCGTGGGGAGTGACATCTCCATGAACCACTTTGAGAAACAGCTCCTGCAGGGGCAGGGGCAGGGGCAGGGGCTGCACCACACCGCTCCGAGAACCCCCACCCCGGCATCCTGCCAGGGCTTCGCACCTGAGGGGGCCTGGTCCAGCCCAGAGTCCCACTCACAGGGTTCCTGTGGTCACGCAGGTTGAACAGCAGGCTGCGGTACTTGGTCTTGTAGCGGTAGTTGGTGGCTTGTGTCAGGTCGAAGAGGGCTGCCTCAATGTCAGCAGCAATGCCCTCTACCTCCTCCTCACTCAGCACCAGGTCTGGGAGCTCCCTGAGGCTGTGGGGGACAAGGGCAGGGCATGGCTCTGAGCGGTGAGGTTATCCAGGCACTCAGCCCAAGAGGGAGAGATATGGGTGGGGAGCAGGGTCTAGGCCAAATCCAGTTTCTATTCTGGGCATTTTCCTACATGAACCCATTTCTTCTCACCCCAACTCTGAGAAGAAGAAGTATTATCATTCTCCATTTACAGAAGGGGTAACTGATGCTCACAGAAGATAAGGCGCTTGCCCGAAGCCACACGATTAGTGGCAAAGCAAGATCTGACTGCTCAGCCCCTGCTCTGTTCCTGGCCAGTGGAACTGAGGAATGTATGCAGGGGAGAAAGCCTGGGGGTGGGGTGGGGGGATAAGGCATCAGTCAGGGCAGGGGATGGAGCCCTGGCCCTGGCTGTAACCCTGAATCTGCCATTGACTTGCTGTGTGGCCTTTGCAAAGTCCTGTCCTCTCCGGACCTTGGTCTCACCATTAGTAAATGAGAGCTCGCAGCTCAGATCTCTGAGATACTCCCAGCACAGAATTCCACTGTGTCTGAACACATTTGCTGTGGGTGACATCCAGGAAGACCTAGCAGACACTGAGAGCTGCAGCAGCTTAATGGGAAGGCATGACCTTGAAGCCAGAGAGGCCCAGGGTCAAATTTCAGCTCTCCTCTAACTCTGCCTGATCAAGTGACCTCACAGCCAGAAAATGGGCTAGTCACACACACAGAAGCCCTTAGAACATGGCATGGCCCTGGGAGGTGGTGGTATGTGGGGGCAGCCAATCGGGATGTCAGGGATGTCAGGGAAGTAGGGAGCAAAGCCTTACCGACTCAACAGCACCTCCTGCAGGGTACGGATCACAGTGCACCGTATCTCAATATCCAGAGATGGCTTCTCCTGTTGGGGCTGAAGCTGAGCTGTGGGGAGAAAAAAGTCACAGGTCCCCAGGGGATGCTCAGGGGCCAGGGCAGGGGGTTACTTGATGTTGAGGGGCTTAGGCAGGCAAGGGAGGGGTCCCACCTTCAGGGACCTAGCTCCCGCCATCTGTCTGGGAGTGGAGCCCAGGCAGCCAGCGGTCCCCACCCCTTTGGGAAAGGACTACAGGCAGGGAGGGGAGAAGAGTCCTAGTAGGGCTGGGGCCAGGAGCTGAGTCCCCTCCAGTCCCCCCAGGCCCCACCAGGCCCCAGAACACCAGCAGCTGCTGAAGGGCAGCCTCCTCAGCCCTTCACCTGAGTCCTCTCCCCCATCTAGTTCACCAGGCTCCTCCTCTGCAGCGTCTACTGGACTGAACTGTAGGGGAAAAGTGAGGAACCGAGACTGTCTCCGGGCTCAGCCTCCCAGCCCTACAGGACTGTGCTTCCCCCGTCACCTCCCCACTCCTACTTTCTTCCTGACCCACGCTCCAGTGAGGGAGCCCACGTGGCAGGGGCAGAGGCACTCACCCCTGGACATTCAGCACGAGCCTCCTGAACAGGCAGCCTCTCCTGCAAGAGAAAGGGGATGTGGAGGAGAAGATGGAACTCCTGAGGGTCAGGGAGTGACTCCTTAGATAGTGGAAGGGGCCAGAGTGGCCACCAGAGCCCCATGCTGTCCCTGCTGAGGGAGGCAGCTCGAGGAACTTGGAATGGCAGGACCTGCTGGTCACCAGGAGCAAAGGTGGGCAACTGCTCCCTCTCCAAATGCACTGGAGGCCCTGCCCTTCTGCTGCTCCAGTCAAGCTCCTGAACTCATCAGAGCCACAAATCCCCAGGCCAGCCAGTCAGCCAGGTGGGGGCCTAACCCCGCCTCTGGCTACTGTGTCCTGTGTGACCATGAATAAGTCACAGCATCTCTCTGGGCTGCAGTGGCATCTCTGTGAATCAGGTGTGAGGGATTAAGTGACATTACCTATGTAAAAAACCTGTTCTGTACCTGGCACCCAGTGAGGCCCCTGGCCATGCGCCTTTTCTTCCTTCTGCACCTCTGGGCAGGTAATGCTGAGCTGACCTCCATCATGTTCTGCAGAGCCTCCAGCTTTGGAGGCTGCAGCCCCCATGCCTGGCCATGACTGATGGCCCCCAGGAGGTGGATCACTGCCCCGGAATCAAGCTGCAGGCAGAGAAGAGTACTTCAGAACTGAGCAGTGTGGACCGCGGCTCTTGCCCTCAGAGGGCTCACCTCTCCTGTAATTGTTTATGTTGCTCTCCCCCACTGGACTGTAAGCTCCATGAGGACAGGGAGCTGGTATATTTTGATCCCCACTGTATTCCCAATGCCTACAAAAGGCCTGGCACATAGTAGGGTTCAATAAATGTTTGCTGTCTGGCCAGTGTCCCAGGAGAAGGGCCTCTCTTCATTCCCATCCTCTCATCTTCCTCTCACTTCCAGCCACGTTCAGAGTTACCTGGATGCTTTTTACCCTCCTGACTAGAGCTGTATTTCATCAGGGAACACATATCCTATTCTGAGTCCCCTTCCTCCTCAAAGTTCTGTCATACTCCTTTTCAGGGTCACTGACTAGCTCTTTGCCCCTCCTCTGAAACAACCACATGGCAAAAGCATTCATTTCCCCCCTCTGAAAGGCTGCTGATCACCCCACTACTGTCCCTGAGAGAAAGCCCTTCATGACCACTCCAAGGTGCAGAGTGAGTTTTGGTCTTCTAACGAGCTAAAGAATCTATCCTTCTCCCCTTTTTGCTATGGCTGCCAGGAAGCTCAGTGTTAACTTAGAGCCTCACAGTTGAACCTTTCCAAGACTGGTAGAAGGGCAGAAATGGTAACAAGATTTCCCTTTCTCCTTCCCTTTCCCTTGCTTTCTTTAGGCATTTATCCCACTTTAAGTATGTTTGGATTCTTTCACCATGGGGAATTGTTTTTGAAAGCAGACGGGTCTGAAAACCAATCCTTGAATGAATTATCAGGAGTGGTCAAGGTCCACGGTCTGGGAGGAACTGGAAGTCAAAGATTCAGCACCAAAGAGAGTGGGGGGCACTGGGATGCTCTGGAAGAAGGCAGGCCAGGGGGGCTGGGATGGCCTCTACTGTGGAGGACCCCCACACACACACACACCCCACCAGACCTGAGGAGAGGGAGAAAAAGGGCAGGAATAAAAAGTAAGAACCTACGTAACACACATGCTTCACCCCGTGGGGCAATTTCATTTCCTCCTTGGAGAGAAAAAAGGACGCAGAGATTAGAATCCAGAGGGCCCAGGGACCCCACTACAGGGAACTCACAAAAAGACATTCTCACAGAGCAAAATATGTACATTTAGTATTCACTGGGTTGGCATTTATAACCTAAAAAATTGAGTACAATCTAATGTCTATCAAAATGGGATGGTTAATAAACAGTGACCCATCATACTATGGATTCTATGTGGTCATTAAAAACGGGCGAGTAGCGGGGTGACTGGTTAGCTCAGTTGGTTAGAGCGTGGTGCTGATAACACCAAGGTTGCTGTTTCGATCCCCACGTGGGCCACTATGAGCTGCGCCCTCCTTAAAAGAGTCAACCATGCCATCACAGCATGAAAGCAATGTGTAACCAATGACCACGGTTGTTCCCTAATTTAAAAAAAATATATTTTTTTAAAGAGCAAGTCATAATAAAACCACCATTCACCAGTGGCTCATAAGATAGCTGGCCCTGGAGGAAGCACGTCATATGTGATCTTACAAAGGTCTCAGAACAACACCATGAGGTATGTACTATTTCTACTATTTTATAAATAAGGAAAGTGAGGCTCAGAGAGACTCTGAAAAGTCCCATAGCTACCAAGCAGCAGAGCTAGGATTACAACCTAGTTCTGTGTGACTCCAAAGTCCAGGTGCTTAACTGCTAAGCTATGCAGAAGTACTGACTGATGTGGAAAGATGTCATAGCATATTATTAGGAGAAAAAGAAAAAAAAATAGAATAGTGTGTGTTACATAAGCCCATTTATGTAAACATGTATTTATAGATGCATAATAGTGGTTTTCTCTGGGGAATAAAATCCAGGGGGACTCTGCATTTCTACTTGTAGACACTTGAGTGTTTTTATGTTATTCAAAATGACCACATATTTCTTTTATAATCGGAAACATATTTTTTAACTAAAAAACAAGCTCCGAACAATATGTATCATGTGCTACCATTTGCATTAAAAAGGGAGAAAAAGAATTTTTAATTTGTATTTGCTTGAATCTGCATAAAGTATCTCTGGATGTGTCCACCAGAACCTAATAAATGAGGCTACCAAAAGGAAAGCGACGGGGAGCTGGGAAGGAGGCTTTTCACTTTTTTTTTTTTTTAAACCATAGGAATGAATCAGTCTTTCAAAAAAGTACATTGAGAAGGGGGCGGGGAGGAAATGGGACATCCGGGAAGGGAAGCAGGAAAGATATTAAGACTAGTCCTTCACAGTTTAAAACCTTTAGCTGGCCCCTGCCTCAGGGGTCCACAGAGCAGCGTTATGAGGCTCCAAAAACAGGCAGCAATCAGAACAGCAAAGACTTTAGATGCTGAACTTAAAAGACCAGAATACAAAATATGTATGTATAAGATGTTTAACAAAATTAAAGGAGTCAAACATATGAGCGAAAGGCAAAAAAATATTTTAAAAATGATCAAGCAGATTTGGATGGGAACCAAACACAACTTCTGGAAATGAAAACTATGACAATAATAATAATTAAAATTAAAAACTCAATATACAGGCTTACATAGCATTTTAGACACAGCTGAAATTAGTGAAATAGTGGACATTTAAATAAACTATTGACTATATTCACAGCACAGAGACTGTGAAACAGTCAAAGATAGAGTGAAAAGGACTAATTAATCTCCAGAAGGAGAGAGGAGAGAGAATGGGGCAGAGGCAGTATTTAAAGATATATGGCCAAAATTTCTCCTGAATTGATAAAAGACAACAATGCACTGATTCAAAAAGTTCAGTGAATTTCCAACGGGATAAGTAAAAGTAAATCCACATCTGGACACATCATGGTGAAACTGCTCAACACCAATGATAAGGAGATCCTAAAAGCATCAACAGAAAAAAATAACAACTGGGCCGGCTGAGTGGCTCAGTTGGTTAAGAGCGCAAGCTCTGAGCAACAGGGTCACCAGTTCAATTCCCACATGGGCCAGTGAGCTGCGCCTGAGCTGAGCTGCCGCTGAGCTGCCAACGAGCAGCCGGATGGCTCAGCTGGTGAGAGCACATGCTCCTAACAACAAGGTTGCCAGTTAGACTCCCGCATGGGATGGTGGGCTATGCCCACCCACTACTAAGATTGAACACGGCACCTTGAGCTGAGAGACCGCAAGCTGCCAATGGGCGGCTGGATGGCAACTGGACTTGGAGCTGAGCTAGCTGTGCCCTCTACAACTAAGATTGAAGGACAACAGCTTGGCTGTTCCCCTTCCCCAACTCCCCAACACGGTTTCCCTTCCCCAATTCCCCAATAAAATCTTTAATAAAAAAAAGAAAGAAAAAATAACAGCTAACACTTTAATAGCACTGTTCTGAATGCTTTACACGTTAGTTCATTTAATCCTCACCATAACCCTATGAGCTAGATACTAGTATGATTATTGCCCCCATTTTACAGAAAAGGAAACTGAGGCACAAAGAGGTTAATCAGCTTGCCCAGTGTCATACAGCTAGTAAACCAAAGAGCTAAGATTTAAATCCAGGCAGTCTGATTCCAGAGGCCACATCTTTAACCACTATGCTATAATGCCTCTCCCCAGAAGATGTTTTATACCTATAAAGGAATGACAACTAGACTAACTTCTCAATAGTAATATGGAAGGCAAAACATAGTAGAATGATATTTACAATGTGCTTAAAGAAAATAACTATCAATTGTGGACCTAGACGAAATCATTTTTGAGAATGAGGATAAAATAAAAATATAGAGAAAACCGAGAGTCATTGTTTTTCTGGATAATTTAATTCTTCTCAGTATGCAAAATGTTCAAGGATGAATTTGAGGCAGCAGAAAGGAAAAATGTTCTGAGATAGAAAAGCTGAGGTGCAATGGGGAGTGTGGGGCAAAGAAAATGATAAATATGTTGTTAAATTTAAACAAACATTGATTTATGAAACTGTAATAACAATGTGTAATTTGTGGGATTAAAAAAATAACTTAGGGCCAATTCACTGGATAATAACAGCACATAAATTGAGAAGGTTCATGCTTGGAAGTAAAGCATTCTAAGTTCCTTATATCATTTCAAAGGAAGATAAAAACAGTAACTACCTTTATACTTTGATAAGTTAGGTATTTGTGTTAAAATTTCCAAAACAGCCACCAAAAAATATATAAACAAGGGATAGAAAACTACCAAACTACTGGGGGTGGGGGAGGCAGGGGGAAGGAATAAGAAAAATAATCAATCTGAAAGGAGGCAATAAAAGGGGGCACAAAATAAGACAGTAACAATAGATTCGCATAAATCAGTAACTACAACAAATGTAAAAGGATTAATACTTCAGATAAATACAAAAATTATCAGGCCTTTAAAACAAGAAAACCCAATTATAAAATATTTATAAGACCCATGTCTAAAATACAACAATGCAAAAAGATTGAGAAGAAAAAAATGGAACAGGCAATTACCAACCAAATACAGGTTTGTAGCTATATTAATATCAGATAAAACAGATTTTAAGGCAAAAAATAACTGGTGGCAAAGACCTTACTATATAGTGAAAAGCAGTTTCACCAGGAGCTGTAACAACCCTAAATTTGTAAGCATCTAATAATATCATCACAAAAATTGACAAAACTACAAGAAAAAGAACAAATCACCATTATACCAAAAAATGTTAAGGTATCGCTCTAACTATTGATAAATGTAGCTAACAAAATAGTCAGTAAGGATAAAAAGACTCAATGAAAACAATTAACAAGCTTAGACTACAGAAATACATACAACACTGTTCCTAACGGCTAGAGAATACATATTCTTCCATACACCTAACATATATGAAAATTAAGCACAGCCTGCACCCTAAAACAAATCTCAACAAATTTCTAAAGATTGGTATTTTTCAGACTAGCACTGCCCAACAGAAATATAAACATGAGCCATATGTGTACTTTCAAGTTTTCTAGTAGCCACATTTAAAAAAGGTAAAAAGAGGGCTGGCCGAATGACTGGTTAAGAGTTGGCTTGGGAGCGCGAGCTCTGAGCAGCAGGGCCACCGGTTTGGATCCCACATGGGCCAGTGACGCTGCGCCCTCTACAGCTAAGATGGTGAACAACAGCTCAACCTGGAGCTGGGCTGCCCTGAGTCGCCGGGGATGGCATAGGCTGCAGTGGGGCTGCAGTGGGCTGCCGTAAGCAACCGTGAGCTGCCGGAACCACCGTAAGCGGCCATCCAATGGCTGGCAACCAACTGCCTCAGCTGGGAAGAGCGCAGTGATCACAATACCAACATGGGCCAGTGAAGCGATGTCCTCCACAACTAGACTGAAGAACAAAAGGACAGCAACTTGTCTGTTCCCCTTCCCCGATTCCCCAATGCTGTTCCCCACCCCCAGTTCCCCAATAAAATCTTAAAAAAATAAAAATTTAAAAAATTTAAAAGGTAAAAAAAAAACAAATGAAATAAATTGTATATTTTATTTAATTCAACATATCCAAAGTATTATCATTTAAATATGTAATCAATATAAAAAATGTTAATGAAATTTTTACTTTTTTTTTAAGTCTTTAAAATGTGGTGTGTATTTTATATCTATAATACATCTCAGTTTGGACTAGCCAAATTTCAAGTGTTCGGCAGACACAAATGACAGGTGGCTACCATATCAGATAAAGATCCCATTCTCAGACCACAATATGACTCAGCTAGAAAGCAACAATTGAGGGGGGGGGGAGAGAGAGAGAGAGAGAGAGAGGGAGAGGGAGTATAAAGAACTCCTACAGACCAGATCAATAAAGAAAAGTTAACCGAAAATATTTTTGGCAAAAGACCTAACAGGAATAGTCAAAATGCATGCAAGGGTTCTCCTTAGTAACAGGGAAATAAAAATTAAAACATTGAGACACCATAGCATATCCCCACTTCAGCAAAAATTGAAGTCTGATAATATCAAATGCTGGTGAAAACATGAAGCTACTGGAATTTACACATTGCTGGTTGGACTGTAAACTGTTTTGACCACTTCAGA